TTTTATTTGTTATGCTAGAAATTTATGTTCATTCACACTTAAGCAGTGGGATGCCTCAAGTAATAAATTCTCTGAGAACCAAGCTTCTAGCAAAGTTAGTCTGAACATACTAGTGTACGACGGAGGAATATCAGTTCCCCTGTATAAACTTTGTGCTTGCCAGACAAATGAGCTTCAAAACAGATCCCCTAATGTCCATTCCCCACCATATTTTTGTCCTTATATACAAAAATATATAATGTTCCTATCTATCTACAAAAATGTAGAGTTACGCTGTGTCTGGACATGGCGGGAGTTAAGGATGTAACTAGTCTTCATGTCTGTGATCACTAGCAGTAGACAAGGAAGAAAAGCTATGGCTGGCCGGTTAGCTCAGTTGGTTAGAGTGCAGCCCCATACTGGCCACAAAAAAAGGGGGGGGGGAAGAAAAGCTTGCCCAAAGAAAGAGCAACTTATCCTCAACACGAATCCAAACCCTCTCCCACTAACAGGCCTCCTCCTCACTGCAACGGGCAAGTCTGCCCAGTTTGGCCCCATGTTTCAGCTCCTTCGTTAGAGTAGTGGAGGAGACAGTAGCTGAATCTCAGGCGGGGCTGGAGGGTTTGAGTGAGGGCATGGCAACCTATCTCTGCCTCTGGAGAGAGTGCCTTCCCAGGGCATAACAGAAGGAATTCTTCCCACACAAAATTATTTCTCTTATACTCACTCTCAAAGAAGTATCCAAAACTGAAGTGTCTGTGGAACATATCTTTGTTTGTTATTGAAAGAACTGTAATTAAGCTTCATCTATCCAGGTATAACTAGAATATAGTCCAGTCTTTCCTTATTCTCTGCTTCCTTTTCTCTGCTAGAAATGTCTTGTCTCTTATGAAATTGTAGTATAATCATGTTGTGTATTGTCACTTTATCTTGTGTTCTCTTTAAGATTCTATTGTGTATATTTGTGTATTTCAGTGGGAGAACTGAAGTCCAGTCAGTTCAGTATGGCAAAGAAAAGGCAAATAAAGACAGGGTATTTGCAAGGTAAGCCAATTCTGTTTCAGTGTCTAAATTTTTTTAAAAGAAGGATTAAAAATCCATTTTCTAAATATGATTACAGAATTATCACATGATCCTTTTTTAGTTAAATAATAAATTACGTTGAGGGAGTGATAAACTAGTTTGTCTAGTTTATTGATTCATTTTTTAAAATGTGAGCATTAATCATATACCAAGCATCGTAGCTCTGAATAGGCTGAATCCAGTATTATATTATCAATATAACATTTTGCTGGGAGGTTGGTGTCCTTTTTTTAAACATTTTTGGGAAATAAAATGACATGTCATATGTTAACCAACACATTTCCATATTTATTTAAATCATACTGTTAAGAAACAGATAAGTTGCTTTTTGTTTGTATTCCATTTATTGGCTTCATTATTTTAGGGTCTATTGTAGTCAGTTTGCTTTTTAACACGTGAAACTACATGATCAGATTTATGTTTTAGAAAAGAGTTTATAAGCAAAAATAGAGAATGGATTAGTATGTAAAGGCTGAGTATCCAGAGACCAATTAGACGGTTAATTGCATTAATCCAAGTGACGATGATAAAGGCCTGAACTAAAACATTGGTGATGGAATGGAGAATAAGGAACAAATTTGAGAAACATTTTGTAGGTAGAACTAGCAGAAGTTGATCAATTGAATAGAGGTGTGTTAGAGACAGTTGGTTTTCAGTGAAAATGACTTAGGGAGTGTAAGTCCTTCAATTAAAGAGTTATGTGCTTGGCATCTACTGCTGGAGACAAGAGTTTTAATAAAGAGAACTAGAGAATTTTGCTTTTGGTTTTACTTTGTTTAAATTTTGCTCTTGGTCTTTATTCAAAAGACCTTCCTACTTTGTGTTTCTGAGTAAAAGGAGTTTGTGTTTTTGTTTTTCTTCCCTCCAAAGGTGAAAATTGCTCTTTTTTTCTAGCAATGTTAAGTAATATCTCCTTGTCTTTTAAAATGCCAACAGAGTCAAATAATGTAAGGAAAACTCTCATCCTGAAACAATCCCTTAATGTATTTTTTGGTATTTACTATTCAAGATTTTCCTGTGCATATACTCACAGAGATACTTATATGTATGTGTATATTTGTTTCAAAGTTGTTTCATACTTTTTGTTGCTTGATTTTATCACTTAACATGTTATGCATATTTTCTTTGATGTTGAAAAATCTGCTCATTTATAATGGTAATAAAACTTTAAACAGTTAAATTCTTTTTATCATAAACTGTAGATTTAAATTTAGGATTCCTCCCTCTACCCTGCCATGTCCCTGCCTCCAGAGTAGTTATTACTGCTAAGACTATCTGAGGCTATCGCAGTAATGTGTCCTGAAATAATGCTATGAGATCCTTGAAGTAAGGACATTTGAAACAAAATATTATTGAAACATGTTTTTAGTGTATTTGAATAATAAAATTTACTTACCGGCCAGCTGCCAACAAATAAATATATAAATTTTACATACATTTTTTTTTCCTTCATTCTGGGGTTACCTTCATCCTGATTTGTCAATGAATAATACACCCCAAACAGGAAAACAGTCAGTGAAAATGCCTTGATGTGGGAAGGATTCAGCTAGTCAGGGCTATAGATTTTGCTGTGATAAGTTTACTTAAATTTGAATGATGAAATTATTTCAGCATTTGTTCAAAAAAGCTTTGAAATCCATTTATTTTATCTTAATTTTAGATTTCTAAGGGAAATGTCTTTTTCTCTATTAAATATAAATCTTGGTGCCACATTAGTGACTTGGTTACTCATATTTTGAAAGAGAGAAAAAAGAAAGTGAGAACACAGAGATCCCTACCCCAGTAGTTGTGACTATTGAAATTATCCAAAATCCTTCCTTATACAGTCTTAGATACCATAATTTCCAGTTAGAAAGTTCTAAAAGAAAAAAAAAGAAGAAAAAGTACTAACAGTAAAATGTTAATATGAAATTGTTTTTCTTTCAATTGGTATTAAGAAATAGTTTACTTACTGTCAACTGCATTGTTTTAATTTAGAATATATTTGTTCTAGTTCTTAGTACTATAACTTATTTGCAACACTCATTTCAGTACTTGTTAAAATCAAAATATTTTTCTGATTTTTAGTGTTATGACTATACCATAACAATATCCTTATACCTTTTTTATTCCTTTACTAACAATAAGCTTAACTTTTTTCTTTGCTTAATATTGATAAAAATATAGAACATGTGATTTGATTACTAGTTGTACTGTAGTATGATGTCCTAATATGAGTACCAAATAATAAGTGTATTTATATATTAAGGTTAATATTACATTCAAATGGTTTCTTTAGAAGCATTATGTTTTAATGTTTTTATCATTTCTGATTTTAGAAATATGCAGTTATACCTGCATCTTAATTGTATGTTTTGTATCCATTATTAAAATACGAAGTTAACAGGTTATTTTATTTATTTATTTTTTTTTTTTCCTTTTTGTCTTTTTTCGTGACCGGTAACGGGATCGCAACCCTCGGTGTCGTGCCCGCACCGCGCTCAACCAGTGAGCGGACCGGTCTCTATATGGGATCCGAACCCTCGGCGGGAGCGCCGCCACACTCCCAAGTGCCACACTCTACCGAGTGCGCCACCGGGCCGGCCCGAGGTTATTTTATTTTTAAAAAATGCATTATTCAATGAATAGTAGAGCTAAAATTCTAATATGATAAGCCTGAAATAACTCTCCTGTTCCTTTGTTTTGTTGGAATTGTATGAGTCCTCCTTGAAATAATGAGTCATCAGCTGGGACAAGGTTTTAATAGAACTGAGCTCTTTTAATGATCCCTCTGTCTCCAAAATACTAAAGCTTTTCTGGGATTGTTTTGCCAATATATCAGAATCTTTTCATGATGACCTGATGCTTGTCTATCAAAATTCACTTAATGTCTTTAACAATTATTAAGTTAATTTTTAAATTATTAGAGAATTCTAGAGTTTTTTTCTTTCTTGGAATCTTAGTTGGCAGTATAAATAGAAAAGGTGTCTGCTTAAACTTTTTATATGATAAGATTTGTTTTAACAGTAATTAAATGTTATTATTTTTTCTTTTTCTAATAATTGACTCTTTGAATTGCTTTCACACTTTTTCAATTGCCATATATATCAAAGAAGAGAGCAAAACGGTGTTCTCATACAACAGAAAAATAAGGTGCCATGGTCAGAAAATAAGTTTACCGCATAGCAAACACAGTGATGCAGTGTGGTATTTTTTTCTCTGAAATTTCCACACTCAACAGGAAACATACACAGCAAGCTTGAGTGGGTGGGTCTCTGAGGTTAAAACTGTTAATAAAATAAAATACCAGAAATTTAGTTTTAAATTTATAGCATTTTCAACCATGTTTAGTCCATTAACAGTAAAGTCTTCTCACACTTTATACTAGGTAAGTATGCTGGATTTTTTCTTCCTTCAAATGACTTTTTCCCTCTCTCAGAAAATGAAAGTAGTTCTCCTGACTATAGTTATTAAATTCTCTTGTAGCTTACATTTTACAGTCTAACATATGAGGAAAGAATAGTTTATTAATACTAAGAATTAACATTAATAGAAGAGCTTAAATAAGTTAATAATCTTTATTTTAAAAACCAAATGCATGAGATATTATACTTTATTTTCACTTGGTTGTGACTGATAAGAATATTTACAATACTATATGAGGGTGTTAGACTGATGGTATCCTGAGTTGTCTTCAAGTTAAAAAAAAAAAAAATCCCTGTAATTTAGTCTCCTGATAATGGGAAATGTTCATGCTTTCTTTGAAATCTGAGTTAGTGTCTTTTTTTTTTAACTGATAACATTACATCTCTTTTAGTTTTTGAGTTAAGGAGATGCCAATGCCAAACCAAAAAGGGTTTGGCTGTGATATGAATTCTTGAAATGATAGGACACTTGGGTGGTTTAGATTCATAATTAAGTTATTTATAGTTTAGTAAAATTAATAAGCTAAAATGTTGTACTGAAAATTTAGGTACTAGTAAACCATAAAATTCAGGAGGCAGAGAGGGACCTGAGGATCGTAGGTATTAGCCAATTTAGATGTTTAGATAAAGAAACTTTAGTGATTGGTCTAATGGAAGGATTCAGTGTCTCTACTCATCATTATTTTAATGCTCCCTACTATGTACATAACAGTTTATTGAGTACTCTTTGGTCAGTGTTACCATGCTTTTTAGTCCAGTCAATTTCTTTTTACATGTTTAAGATATTGGAAAGGAAATTCTAGGCTGACAGTTCAATTGCAAACTTAATAACATTAGAATTTTGATTCGTAATGATCTCATTGTTTCAACATAATTGGATAACTTAATATTACTTTTGCTTTGTGCCTTGCTAGGTAATTTTTTTTACCCATACAAAAGTGCATACTTAGTACATGATGAGAGGGAAAAATGATGGCCAACTTTTAAAAAATCCTGATAAGCTAAAAAGTAAACACAGTGCTAAGTGCAATTCTTTTTTATGACTGGAAAATGTGTAAGTAAATCCAGATTCATAATGAAGTCCTATGAATCCAATGAACTATAACTGAAATAGTCTTGGTTTTTTATTTTACACAAATAGATGTTTCTATCCAAATTTTTATGATCTGGTTTTTGAAGTAGCATAACAGCATCTGTTTTGTTTTTCATTGTAATGTAATGGAAAGGATTGTACATAATTTTTATGTGCTTCAGTGAATTTATTATTGAAGTACAAAACTATTGTTTATAAGATGATATATTTTAGGTAAGTAGTTTAATTCATTGTATTAGCCTCCATATTAATTCTGCATGTCAGAAAACTAGGCATTTAAATAAATAGATGTCATATATGTTCAGTGAATTTTGGCCAGTGTCTCAATTTGCATATAAAAAAACTCATTAACATTCTTAAAATTGTAAAGGCTTCTGATCTCCGAATAGATGATATCTTTTGAACTGCATAAATCAATATCAACATCTTTTTCTTAAAAGATTGCTTAGTTCTCATCTTTATCAATGTGATAGGTGACAATATATAGATAGGTAATAAAGTGTACATCCTTCTATTCTACGCCACAAGGTAAAATTTTTTTTTTGTCCTTTTTTTTTTTTTTTTGAGACCGGCTGCACCACGCTCAGCCAGTGAGCGCTGTGAGCGCACTGGTCATCCCTATATGGGATCCGAACCCGTGGCGGGAGCGCTACCACGCTCCCAGCGCCGCACCCTCCTGAGTGCGCCACGGGCTCGGCCCCACAAGGTAGAATTTTTAACCTTCCAAAATGTTTTTGTAAAAAGAATTCAATGGCCTACTATATGTAAAAAAGAAAAAATTATAAATAAAATGTTACATGTATAATTATCATTTTTGTCCTGTCTTTGCTGAGGCAGAGGATCAGGATTTAGATTTAAAGACATTCAGAAGATAATACGCTAGGAATTGTTTAATTCATCCCAAGATAAGCTAGAGTTTCAGATACTCTGGAATAGAAATAGGCAATGTCTATAATATTTATAACATCTGAAAAAACATTTGGTAGCAAACTATTGCCTCATTTTTTCACTTTCTCCTTCCTTTTCCTGTTTCTTCTCTTTTTTTCTCTATCCTACTCTTTCTAGCCTGTCTTTCCTTCCTTCTTTATATAAAGCAAATGTACTTTCTTAGGAAATTATTTGGTAAATAATCTCTAAATGCATTAATTTTTTATAAGTAAACTGCTTATGTTGACTCATCTATATATGATCTATTAAAACAAATTCTAAGATTTTATTCATAGTTTGGGATATAAAAATAAATCTTTTTGCATATTATTGAAATTTTTTCTGCAGGTCCCCAAGTAAACCCTTGGTAAGGAAATTAATGGATTGGGAAATAGTAAGCAGAAATTCAGCATCTGATGAAAGGTTAGAAACACAAAGCCTCCCATCACGGTCTCCACCTGGAACTCCTAATCAGTAAGTACTGACCAACATTAAGTGTCCATTTGGCTAATTTCTAAATTATTGGTTATATATTTCCATTACCTGCAGATCAAAATATGTAAAAATTTTACGCTTTTGATCAAACCTGATATGTTTTTTTTCTTTTGCTCCAGAGCAGCATTATTTCCTCTTTGCCTGCTGCTTATTGTAGAAGTGTTATGGAATAGCCTTGGGGAATAAGGGAGTAGAGCATTGAATAAAGACCAAGTAAAATATGTACATAAACAGTTTGGTTAGCAGAACTTTAATACCTAGGTGTCTTCTTTGCTTATAGAAAAAATGGACTCAATAGTTTCTGTCTTGCTAATTGCAGATTGCTTAATCTTTTTTTTTTAAAATAAAATATTGCATATATTTAGTGGCTCATCAGCTTATTTGAAGAAAATTCAGAACCTTCTTTTTCTGCCCCCTTTTGCAGTCAGCCATTTCTCCATTTGTTACCAGCACCACTAAGTAATTATAATTATAGTGAAATATAGAAACACAAAGTTTAAACCAGATAATTCAAATAATTAATTAACAGTAGCTGTGATTAAGTTTTCTGGTTAATGAAACAATTCTAGATATCATCTGAAAAAGGTTGTTTTTTTAGTTCTAAAGAGAGAGTACAGTGCGATGGTGAAAAGCATGAACATTGGAGTCACTGTACTTTGAATCTTGTGCAAGTTAATCAATCTCATTTTCCCCATCTACAAAATTATATTTATAACAACATCTTATAATATTGTTATGAGACTTAAATGAAGTGATATATTTAAATTGCTTAGAACAATGTCTCACACAAAATAAATGGTCAAATATTACTTACTGTAATTAATAATTGTAATGACTAATAATTTATGTGACTTATAAAGATGGAAATATGGCATTCATTATTTACTTTTAGGACTTGAAGTTTCATAAATGAAAACATTTACAAGGATTAAAAAATAATTCAGACTAGAAGATATTTTTAAATTATTCTAACTTCTTTTTTTTTATAAATGCTGAATAAGATGAAATTATAGTGACTAAAACCTTGAAACATTAAAGTAGTTAAAGATAATAGATGACTGAATGGGTAAAATCCTCGTGGCAGATTGTTGACTACAGCTCATATCTCTGACTTCTCATTCTTTGTTCTTTCTGTTTCCATCATACTGTGTTTATCAGAGACTTAGTCCACATGGTTAGTCTTCAAAACACACACTCACATTCTGATGTGGTCATATAATTAAGAAAATGGGCAAAATTGAATTAAAGCATATTTTCATTCAGTTTTTTCTGTCTTCATTTAGTCGAAATTCTGCATTCACACAAGAGGGAACCCGGTTACGACCATCGTCAGTTGGTCATTTGGTAGACCATGTGGTTCACACTTCCCCAAGTGAAGTATTTGTGAATGAGAGATCTCCATCATCAACACAAGCTAATAGCATCATTCTGGAATCATCACCGTAAGGCCTCTTTTCATTTTACTTCTTGATAATGTATTTTCAGATGCCCCAAATTTCTTCATTTGAAATAATCAGAGAAGTTAGGACATTTTATACAAGATGTTACTTATGCAATTTTTAAAAATTTATATATTTGTAAATGTGCTTATTTGTCCCTGAGAGTTCTGGTTGGCTCTCCCCCACCAACCCAGCCACTATGTATTTTGTTGACTCAAACTGTTCTTCAATTTTTAGTGCATACACTTAAATATTCCTGCAGATAATTTAGTACTGTTGTCTGAGAGTATAGGGTAGTAAGAGGTAGAGCTTTCTTAATATTTTTTAAGGAAGGGAACCATAAGGATGAATAGACCGTGTTGGGAAAATTAAATAACAAGGGAGAACTAAGTAAGATGACCTCACACTGAAAACAAGTCATAGAAAGCATGCACACATGATTTCTAAAATCTCTTCTTACCTCATATTACATATTGATTGATACATAAATTCAGCTTTTTCATTCAGTATTTATACTCCATCAGTTTAGTGCAGAATATTAATATACAATATCTCAATTTATTGGCTTATATAATACACAGAACTCATGCAAGTAAAAACATGGCTAGAGAATTGGGAAAAAAGTAAACTACTTACAAGATAGATAGTACAATATCTCAATTTATTGGCTTATATAATACACAGAACTCATATGCAAGTAAAAACATGGCTAGAGAATTGGGAAAAAAGTAAACTACTTACAAGATAGATAGTTAAGACAATTCATTAATTGTCGAGGAGAAAGGGATATAAGATATAGTGAACGTATTCAGAGTTAAAGAAAGGATGTATTTGAGAGTGATGGATGAAAGAGAGATGGATTGGTCAGCAAAGCAGTTATAAGTACTCTGGGAAAACATGACCACATATGTGAGCCATGGTTGTCCTTGGTAGGGCCAACCAAGAAAGACTGGGTAAGCTATCAAGACAGGCAGAAGTTTAGCCTTGATAACGTATATCTTGGTGCAACATTTGATTGTGTCTTTATAATATACATTATAAAGAATTGAGGAGTAGGACAGATACACACTGAACAGTGGCACCTATGGGGAATAAATAGGCAAGAGATAGGATTGATGATAATATATTTTATTACTTTAAAAATTATAATTCTAAACTTTTTAGTTGATTTTTGATAATCACGTATTTTCTAACTCTGAAACTTTAAAAAGTATTGTAATTAAGGACATGATTGAAATATATGAATTGGTTTAATTTAAAAATCACACTCTGATCACATAAAAATGAACCATATGGAGGAATTTCAAAAGCCTAACTATTACAAAACAAAACAGTATAACTCCTGAGGTTTAATCACATTATCTTAATGTTTTTCGAAGGGCATTTATTTTTATTAATATATATATATTTTTAATTCTAAGATGTTCTTGCAGAGCATTTCGGGGGAAGGGGAGATCAGAAGGGGGAGGAAAATAGGGTGAGAGGGGCATGGTCAAGGCGCATGGCACCCCCCTAATTCCAGCAGGGACACCAGGGGGCTTCTGGTGGTGGCTCAGTCATTGCTGGACTGGATGCAGATGTCAGGGAGTTGTGGCTGAGGCTGTCGGCCCCCCACCACCCCAACTTGGGAGCCCAGGGCACTACCAGCAGTGGTTCGGTGGTCATCGCTGGGCTGGTTGCTTGGCCCCCCCGCCACCGCCTCAGCTCAGGTGCTTCCTGGGGCTGCTCAGTGGTCATCACTGGGCTGGTTGTGGATGTCTGCGGTACGTGACTGAGTCCCTTGGCCCTCACCACCTTGGCTTAGAAGCCTGGGGTGCTTCCTGCAGCAGCTTGTTAGTCATTGCTGGGCTGGTTGAGGATGTCATGGGGGTCATGGCTGAGGCCCTTGGCCCTCCTACTGCACCAGCTGGGAGCCCAGGGCACTTCCACCGGTGGCCTGGTAGTCATTGTTGGGCTGGATGTGGTTGTCGGGGGGTTGTGGCTGAGGCCCATGGCCCTCTGCCCTCCCCAGCTTGGGAGCCCAGGGGATTTCCAGTCCTTCTAGGTTTTACAGGAGTTCTTTGGTGGTGTTAGACCGTTAAGGTTAATATCAAACTTTTTCTCTGATCTGTGGATATTTTGTTTTTTCTTTCGGTTCTGTGTTGGATTATTCACTGTTCCCACCACTTAAACTCTGCACTGGAACTAATTTGTTGTCCTTTGCTTACTTCTGAAATGGGGGAACTTGCTGCAGGTACCAGCACTTGAATCCTTGGTTGAGCTAAACTTCTTCTTTGCTACTGATTCCCTGGTGAAGGCTTTTTGTGTAGTTCAGGATTTAATTTTTGACGTTGTAATCACTTTCGCATTTTGTGAGGTCTGATACACCTGGGTTGTATGGAAGCTCAGTCTGGGCCTGAGTCTTTTCAGCAAACTGCACCACTTGTAGTTCTGTATTCCTGACCAGTCTCCACTGAATGGGCCTGTGCTGATTTGAGGGTAGATCAGCTGTCCATGCTGTGCCCCCTGTGAGACCATCTCCCCCACTGCCTGTAGTCCAAACATTTCCCATGGGATGGGCCATGCACTCATCCCTTGCAGTGACTAACCAGCATCTGAGTAGCTCCTTTTTTGAGTTGTCTGGGGCTCCTCCTATGTGGGTCCATGAGAACCCTGTTAGCGGTCTTACTGGCCTGGGGGCCGCTAAGGCCCTCGTCTCCTCTGCCACCTCCAATCAACTTCATACAAAGGGCACAGCTGCAGCTTTTGCCAGCTCTTGCTCCATATGTTCACCTGCTCTAGCCTTGAAGCAGCCCAGGCTTGAAATGGTGGGAGCGATCCTTTCTTTCTCTCATCATGGCTTCTCCTACCTTCATGCACTCCATAGGCCTCTCCTCCTCTTCCCCTAAGCTCTAGGGGCCCAGCTTGGCTGTTGCTGCTTTTTGATAGTTGTAAATTGGTTGATGTGTGGGAGAGAGTGTTGCTAGGGACTGTCTATTCTGCCATCTAGACCAGAAGCTTAAAGGGCACTTTTTAAAAGAAAGACACACAAACACACACAATTGAATGTTTCCCCATGTAAATTTTATAGATTCACAGACTGCAAAAACTGCTTGCCCCTTCAAAATACCTTTGCTTTGCTTTCCTGACCTGAAGCGGAAAAGCAAGTTCTGGGTAGATTGGGATCATGAGGAGTTTTTGCTTCCTCTCCTTTGACTGAAAAATATGCTACTTTCCTGCTACTGTTGAAGTATTCGTGAAGAAATTTTAAGTTTACTGGACTGATATAAGTCAGGAAGTTTTTGCCCAGTTCTTGATTGACAGTTCTAACAAATCTTTTGCTACCGTGTGACAGTGTATTGCTCTCTTACCAGCAAAGTACACCTAAACATAGTGTTTTCATTATTTGCTTTCCACTTAACATTTTCCAAAATGTCAGAGTTTAAATTAAGTATGTTATTTGTGGGGAAAAACTCTAATATGAAAGTTGGGCATTTGGAATACTTTTAGAATTATTTTCCCATCTCCCTTTTTTCTTAGCATCCAAAAGTTAACACAGGTGGCACTTTGCAAATAAAATTTTTTATGTGGCTAAATTTTATACAGTATATGTTTTGAGCCCTGGCGCTGTCCCTCCCTCCCAAACATTTTAGACAAATTAGTGGTTTTAGATATATTAAAACCATTAAATTAAAAATGTTATTAATTAATGTAAGTATGGGGCTGGCCAGTTGGCTCACTTGGTTATAGCACGGTTGCTGGTAACACCAAAGTCAAGGGCTGGGGTCCACTTACCAGCCAGTCATCAAAAAAATAAATAAATGCAATAAATACATCCATGTTTACTATATTTAAGCCCTGATCTCTACTGATCTTGCTTTCTGTTTATTAAAATGTGTCATTTCTATTAGAACTTAAAATATAGAAGTATTACCATTTACAATCAAAATGGGGTAATTTAAAATAGTCATATTCAGGATATTCTCTGATAAGTCCTAGGAGTTCTGTTGAGGCCTAGATACTGGCAGGTAGGAGAGGTGCTTAGGTTTTATCTATCCTGTAAGTTGGCTTCTGAGAAACATTTCATTTGAAGAAAAGATTCCACTGCTACAAAAAGTTTAGAGACCTCTGATTTAAAATAACTTTTCTCCTGCTTTTTGCAGTTATTTTCTTTGAGTTGCAAATATTTAACAGAGTGGTAAGTACACAAGCTCTGGATTCAGACTAGGTTTAAAACTTGGTTCCACCACTTCTAATTATGTGACCTTTTTTTTTTTGTCTTTTTCCGTGTCCGGCAACGGATCGCAACCCTCAGTGTCGCCCCCGGACCGGACCGGGACCGGCAACGGGATCGCAACCCTCGGTGTTGCTCCCGCACCTCGCTCAGCCAGTGAGCGGGAACCGGTCTGTATGTGGGATCCGAACCCTCGGCGGGAGCGCAGCCGCGCTTCCCAAGCGGCGCACTAGCGCAGTGCGCCACCGGGCCGGCCTAATTATGTGACCTTTTTTTTTTTTTTTCCGGGTCCGGCAACGGATCGCAACCCTCAGTGTCGCCCCCGGACCGGACCGGGACCGGCAACGGGATCGCAACCCTCGGTGTTGCTCCCGCACCTCGCTCAGCCAGTGAGCGGGAACCGGTCTGTATGTGGGATCCGAACCCTCGGCGGGAGCGCAGCCGCGCTTCCCAAGCGGCGCACTAGCGCAGTGCGCCACCGGGCCGGCCTAATTATGTGACCTTTTTTTTTTTTTTTCCGGGTCCGGCAACGGATCGCAACCCTCAGTGTCGCCCCCGGACCGGACCGGGACCGGCAACGGGATCGCAACCCTCGGTGTTGCTCCCGCACCTCGCTCAGCCAGTGAGCGGGAACCGGTCTGTATGTGGGATCCGAACCCTCGGCGGGAGCGCAGCCGCGCTTCCCAAGCGGCGCACTAGTGCAGTGCGCCACCGGGCCGGCCTAATTATGTGACCTTTGATGAGTTATTTTGTCTCTATAATTTCCTCACCTGTTAAAAACTAAGTGATA